GTTAGGAAAAATACAGTTCTGTGGACAGTGGGTATAAGATGTCCCAGTCAGAGGCATTTTTCTAACCAGCAAACACCTGCCCAACAGGCTGCCCTGATTTCTTTTAATGACAATATCAGAGTACCAGACATCTTTGTAGGCTAATAGTTATGGTCCCTCAGTATGTGTTCTGTAAAACAAATTTAAATATTTCTCCATAAAACCCTGGTCAGAGCTTGCTTTGATGTCATATGAATCCTTCCCAATTCAGTATGTTTTGGAAAGATACTCTAGCATTCAGCAACCTACACCTGTCTTGTTTAATAGTTAAAGCCATCTACAGCGATTAGATAACCATCAATGACATAGTTGGGGGATTCATGAACTGGGTTAAGAAGATAGGACTTTATGACCTCAATGGATCCTTTAAGCTTCAAAATTCCTTAATTTCTCAACTCTGTAACTACTTTTATTTCACATGTATGACTGTAATACTATCAAGTCTTCCTTGAAGTTCATTAAAGCTGAAGTTTTAGATGAGTTAGACATTAAACAACTAAATAATTATGATTCTTAACTAGCTTAGACCAAAAAAAAAAGTATTCTTTTAATGCTTCTGTTTACTTTTTTTAAAAATTTTTTTAGTTGTTGATGGACCTTTATTTATTTATATGTGGTGCTGAGAATTGAACCCAGTGCCTCCTCACAACATGCCAGGCAAGTGTGCTACCGCTGAGCCACGGCCCCAGCCCGTTCTGTTATTTTTTTAAGGCACTTATTTTACCATTAACAGAAGAACCAATATCTATTTCCTTCTTAGCTTTAAAATTCATTTACAAAAACTTTCAAACTTTGGACTTTGGGGTTTTACAAAATATTTCCCTTGAATGATTTTGTTTTCCATCTCCTTAAAATTCTAATTTTATCATTATTTCTTTTCCTTTTATTTCTTTTTTTTTAAAGAGACAGAGAATTTTTTAATTTTTTCAGTGGATACAGCATCATTTTTTATTTTCATGTGGTGCTAAAAATCAAAGCCAGCGCCCCGCGCATGCCAGGCAAGCATGTTACCGCTTGAGCCACATCCCCAGCCCTCCCTTTATTTCTTTAGGTTCATTTGTAGTCCTGTTATTTTCTAAGGTTGAATGAAAATGTCTTTTCTACCCTTTCCTCCAGTTGCATTTAAAATAACATGTCTATACAATAATCCTTTTTCTCATACTATAAGTTTTCACATGTAATACTTTCATTGTTCAATTATAAATATAAATTTCATTGATTTATGATCTTAACGGTACATGAATATTTATACATACTCATATTTTTTTCTCATTTCTAGCATTTTTTAAGCCAGTTATTTTTCAGGGATCGGTTTTTTTAGGACTAGGACGATTGATAAGTATATTTTAGTTTTGTATTCTTTTTGTTTTTAATTTCTTATACATTTATTTTTATGTGGTGCAGAGGATCAAACCCAGCACCTCACACATGCTAGGTGAGCGCTCTATCACTGAGCCACAACTCCAGCCTGTTTTTAATTTTTAATTTTTACTTTATATATATTTTTTCTTTTACCTGTTTCCCTTCTTCTTCTTCTTTTCTTCCACTAACAGCCAATCTTTATTGGCACCAAAACAGTCATGAAGACCAAAATAGAAGACACAGAGGTAAACCCACATAAATACAGTTATCTCATACTAGACAAAGGCACCATACCTAAACATACATTGGAGAAAAAATGGTGCTGGGAAAACTGGAAATCCACATGTAACAAAATGAAATTAGACCCTTATCTCTCACCCTGCACAAAACTTAACTCAAAGTAAATCAAGAACCTAGGCATTAGACCAGAGACCCTGCACATAATAGAAGAAAAAGTCGGCCCATTACATCAACTCAGGAACYGACTTCCTCAACGAGACTCCTAAAGCACAACAAATAAAATCAAGAATCAATATATGGGATAATATCAAACCACAAAGCTTCTTCATAGCAAAGGAAACAAACAAGAATGGAAGCAGAGAGCCTACAGAATGGGAGAAAATCTTTGTCACCTACACTTCAAATAGAGCATTAATTTCCAGGATATATAAAGAACTCAGAAAACTTAATACCAAAAAAAAAAAAAACAGCCCAATCAATAAATGGGCAAAGGAACTGAACAGACACTTCATAGAAGAAATACAATCGGTCAACAAATATAAGAAAAAACGTTCAACATCACAGGCAATTAGAGAAATGCAAATTAAAACTACACTGAGATTTCATCTGACTCCAGTCAGAATGGCAAATATCAACAATACAAATAACAGGGTTGGGGATATAGCTCAGTTGGTAAGAGTGCTTGCCTTGCATGCACAAGGCCCTGGGTTCAATCCCCAGCACCTCCAAAAAAAAAAAAAAAAAAAGAGAGAGAGAGAGAGAGAGAGAGAGAGAG